AAGAAATATTAGAGGAAACTATTATCATGTAAAAAAAGACATTAATAAAAACTTATTCAAAATTAAATAAATTTTAGGGAAATTGAGGGAAAGGGGAATAATGTCTAAGTTTGAGAAGTTGTAAAAGATTTGTCTAACAGAAAGCATTCAAGCTTAAGTTTAGAAGGAAATTAGAGATTCTAAGAAACATAGCTGAGGATAAAGTGCATTGCAGGCAAGGAGGTGAAGGGCATTTTGTATATAGTGACAGGATGGAATGTTGCACATGAAAATCAGAAAGAAGTCCCCAGTAACTACCTACTACCTAAAGGGTCAAATGTACTCCTCTGTTTGGCATTTGAAAGCTCTTCACAGCATGGTATCAACCTATTTTTCTAGCCTCACTACATTTTACAAATTTGCATGCTTTCTACTGTAGTCAAACTGGAATACAGACTTTTCTTCATATCCTGAACCTCACTTCCCATATGCATGGCTTTTACACAGCCTGTCTACTAAGCCTATATTTATTACCTCCTCCTATCGGCCTTTTAGAATCCCTCAGTTATTTTGAGGTACGGCTCAAATACCATCTTCACCCAAAGTATTTCCTGATATTCCACCCCCTCCTTCGGCTTTTCTTCAACCCAACAAATCACCTTGTATGTTTGTTTTGTACACGTATATGTTGCCTTCTCTGAAAGAAATTCCTTCAGGACTAGAACTGCTTAATTTTTATGTATTCTTAAGAGTGCCTGGCATATGTGTTTTAAAAAGTCCATTGATCAACTAATTGTAACATGTGTGAAGGTGAGGTAGGTAGGAGCTATGTACAAATGGATACTTGTATTTGTATTTGATTTGATTTGGATATGATCTTAGAGGCAAAAGGCAGCCACTGGAGTTTTTTTATTCATTTGTTTGTTTTAGCAGGTGAGTGATACTGTCAAACCTGTGTTTTAGGAATATCATTCTGGCAGCTATCCATAATCATTGGTCCATTACCAAAGGCTTGAATATACATTGCTGAAGTATGTTGTGACATACACTCTACAGGTATATAACTTTACATGGCTTTACAAGAATTAATACTTTTTGTCTTGTGTTTTTCCTTACCCATATTTCTCTGTGAGATCATAAGAATGTGACTATATTTTTGTTCTACTTTATGGGTTTTCAATTTCTCTTTTCTAAGAAATCAAGTAATAGGAACTTAAAACCACCTTATTTTGACACATATGGCAAATAGAAACAGCAATGGTTGTAGGAAACATCTCTTAAATGGACTACTCTACTCCTATCTCCCTCCCTGGATATTCAGAAAACTATGTCCCATGAAAGATTCATGGTAGTAATCTGTGAAAAACAGTACCATAAGGATCCTACTACTCATGATTCTGAGATCAGTTGAATGTCATTTGCCTTCTCCCTACTCCTTGAGCTTGGGACCACCTTTGTGAATGACCTCCCTTTGTACCATCACATAGCTTAGCTCAGACACTTGCAATTGCTGCCATCACTGCTTTTTTTTTGGTTCAGTAGCCACTGATTTAATTTAGATACATCTGGTTGTTCATCCTATAACTTTAACTCAGCGGTTGGCTTAACTACCATCTCCCTGAAACTGCATTGCCATGCATGTATTAGATCTTTTCTGAGCACGAATTTTGGGTCTATAGCCTTATGGGGAAAATGGTCACCTCCCCTTTCAGCTAATTCAATTAGAAAAGGAAGGGACTGGCCCATATCTTTCATGGAGAGGCCATCTCTTCCACAAACCATAATTAATTGTAATGTCAATTTTTAATCTCCACAGCTACTACAAGAGTAATAGTCAGTCAATAATCATTTATTTAGAGCATGCTCGATGTCAGGCATTGTGAGTAGTGATAGGAGCACAAAGAAAAGACAAATAGAAAACAAAGGCAAAAGATAGCCACCTCTGGAGCTCTGTTGCTTCAGAGTGACAGAACTACAGAATACCCTTCCATCTGATATTATTGGACTGATCATTCCTCTGCAGGCTTCAGATTGGATTAGAAACTAGAAGTGAGGCTCCATTCTGCTCTTGGGATTTAAGTCACACACTTCCAACCTCTACAACATCTTTAAATTTCCTGTGCATTTTTTTCCAAAAAGGATTTACTTCACTTCTTCACTTCTTTAATTCTCATCCCTTTTTGTCAAGTTTTAATTTTTTGATGAATGAACATCATACTTATTTGTCCATTCTTTAATTTCCCTGATTGCTAAGACAACTATTTTAAGTTTCCTCTTCTAAACAGTTTCTGTGTAATTACTTAAACAAAGAATACAAAAATATTATCTCATGGTAAAGAAATATTTCAGTATTTGATTATGCAGTTCATTATTACCCCTGCCTTTTCCATGATCATTTCTCCCCTCCCGATATGATCTGAAATCTCCTTTATTGGTGCAGGTCCACTCACCTCTTTTGGGTGTCAATTGCCTGCTGGAGTTATAAATCCCCAACTAATTAGGCAGGAAGCTGTCCATGGAGGCACTACATGCTAGGCATCAAATCTCTGTGGATTATGCCACTTGGAAGGTCCCCATCTCCTGCTAAAGAATATCTCTCTCCCCACGGGGACATTGTTCCACAACTGAATAGAAATTTCTCCTTTTCTCCACCCTGTTTTAATACTTGTCCTTGCCATTTCACCTGTCCTCCTATGGGCCCTCTTATTCCTGAGAGACTATACCTCACATTCACTGATGAGAACTGTACCTAATGTTTCACTGAGAAAATAAAGGCCATTCACTGAATGCTCTTTCAAGTTTTCCCTCCTCTTTGTCGCAAATCACTCAAATGCCTTTTGCCAATATCTCTTTCTTCAAGCTAGACTCATATGATGATGTAATCCTTGTCATTGCCAAGGCAAACCCCTCTCCATGCACAAGTGATTCCATTCTATCTTGCTTCTCTAACATATTGTGCCCTCTATCATCCTCTCTCAATTTTCTTCAAATTTTCTGTCTACTGGATGTTTTGTTGATGGCTATAACTCCCTATGTATTTCTTTCATGTTAAAAAAAAATCCTTCTTTTTTGTCCATGAGTTCCTTCTCCTTATTTTCCCACATCTCTCCACTCTATTGCAGCTAAACTCCTTGAAAAGTCATTCTACATTAGAGAAGTCATTCTCCTCTTCCTTTCCTATCTCTCTTATCTATATCTATACAAATCTGGTTCCTGACCTCATTATTCAACCAAAAGTGTTTTCTATTGATCTTTTCATTGCCAAATCCACTGGTCTTTTCTCAATGCTCATTCTTCTGGATGCTTCTGTAGCTTCTGACATCATCAAAATCACCCTCCTTTCCTTAACCCTCTCTTCTCTCCAGGTTTTCATAATCTTTTCTCCTGGTTCTCATCTTACCTATCTGAGCCCTTATTCTTAATCTCTTTTCCTAAATCTTCATCCAGGTCATCTCCAGTCACCTTGGCCATCCCACAGAATTCTGTCCAGGGATTTCTTCTCTTCACTCTGTATTTGATTTCATAAATGATCTCATCAGCTCCCAGTGATTCCATTATGACATCTAACACTGATGCTTCTCAGTTTGACTTATCCATTTCCCCTAACATCCAGACTCACATCTCCAACTACTTACTAGACATTTTGAACTGGGTGTCAAAACAGACACCTTAAAACCCAACATGTCCAAAACTGAGCTTACTGTTTTTCTTCCCAGACTTGGCTCTTTTACTGCCTATTACTATTGAGGATACAACTACCATCCCAGTTAGCTAGCCTTATAAGCCAGCATTAAAAATCATTCATGAATACTCATTCTCTCATCTCTCATATACGTTTTGTTGCCAAAATCTTTAAGTTTTATTTTAATATCCCTTTAATACTTCCCCTTCTCCCTTTTGAAAAGCTACCACCCTAATGTGGGTATGGATCACCTCATGCCTATGCTATTTCAGTAGGCTACTGCTTAGTCTCCTTGCCCCAAGTCTGTCCCTACACTAGTCCATCCTCCACTCAGCTATCAAATTTTATCTTTCCAAAGTATAGGTCCGATCATGTAATCTCTGTATTCAATAAACATCATTGCTTCCCTATCACCTTCAGAATCAGACATAAAATCCTCTGATTGACATTCAAAGCTCTTCAAAACCTAAGCCCTTCCTTTCTTTCCAGATTTTTTAAACACTTTACTCCAACTCACTTACAAGTGACATTGAACATCTTGCTGTTCTTCTCTCAAAACACCACATTTCCAGGTGGTGTTCCAGTTCCCCAGTTCTTCCCCTATCCTTGAATTCTCTTGCTTCTTACCTCTACTTCCTAGCTACTCTGTCCTCCTTCAAGACTCACCCTTTCTACAAGAGACCATTCCAAGTCTACCATACTGCTAAGATCTTCCTTCTGAGATTACACCAATTTACATTGAATATTTGTTTTGTATAATTCAATAGTTATTTAAATGTGTTCTCTACTAAAGGTAAAAAATGACGTTTTTGCCTTTGTTTGTATCCCTTGCACTTACCACAGGGCCTGGAATTTCCTAAGCAATTTTAAATCTTATTATTGATGATGTTCATGAAAGCAAGGAAACAAACCCAATACTTGTTCCAATGTACTTAATACAATATTTGTGTAGCCTCTGTAGAAGTGACATTATGCATTTACTCCAAGGCTTTCATTTTACAGAGTAGAATAATGTAGCCAATAATGGTGACTTACCCCCCCCCCAAATAGTTATCTAATACGAATATATTATATGTCCTGGGTGTTCCTGATGATGATTCTGAGGGGCAAGAAAGAAAGAAACCTGCTCTCTAACTTGGGTATGGGATGCTAAATTTTAATGAGATATTTTATGAAATTCGTAGTTCTTGAACTATACATTATTTTCAGGACTGGAACACTGCAATTCATAAAGTTATTGGGAAGATATTAGATTCAAGGTTTGACTAATCCATTCAGAAAGTTCTCATGAGGCCTTTGTGCCTTTCCAGGTATACAAGGAAGCTTTGGGATACGACTCTCATCTGCCAATCAACAATAAGGGAGAGAGGGCAGGGAAACATCCACCAAAAAAGCTTGCAACAGCTTCCAACTCAACATCTTTTTCAACTGTAAAAGTTATATATAAGACAATACAGTTGTGGAGCCAACAGAATAAAACAAAACAGCTCAGAAGCAAGAGGATGGTCTGTGTAGCCTTGACTTCAGGGAAGGATCCAGGGGAATGACTATTGCTGTAAATGTGCTGCACTTGCTTGCTGTGTCTATAGAGGAGAAGCACCATGTGGGTACTGAGCAAGCCTATAAGGAAATGAAAGAGAAGGTCATGAACAGTCATACCAAACATAAATGCAGCACTTAATTGATCATTATCTCTTATTGAAATTCCTGTGAAAATATGTGAACCATAATGATAGCTAGAAATTGTGTCATTTTTGGTTGCTTCAGTGACTTCAATGACCCTGATGTAGATCAATGCATTGGCGACCCAGAAAAAGAGGAAATAATGTAAAATGTATTTGGGGGCTCTGACTTTGATGCTAGCCCACACAGAGTTGTTAAGACTGATGATAAGGGCCTGGAACACACTCAGAAGACTTGTTGTGCACATAGAAAGTCCCTGGGCAACTCTGTAAATGTACATGAGTGTCTTACATCCTAAATCATCTAAAACATGTCTCATTCCAAAACAAAACATGATTTCTGGGATGCCTCTGGTAAACAGTGTTACCATATTGGCCAGAGTCAAATGAGCAAGAATCAAGTCCATCGGCTTCTTCTGTTGAGGCTTTTTGAAGGAAATACAAACATAGAGCATGAGCAGCAGTGAATTCCCTGCAAAACCAATGGCACATTGAAAGAAGAATGCCACACCTAAGATCAGCTCACTGGATGTCATTGTCTTCAGAGATTCAGTAGATACGATGCCACAATTAATGGAAGAGCCTAAAAAAAAGGAAGTGGTAGATAAACTGAACACTAAAGTAATGGAGTTGCATGATGTCCACAAACAATACACTAATGTCCTATTTCTTCCAGCATGGGAACTGTTGAGAATCAATGGTGTCCTATGTAAAAAGTTCATAATATCATATACCTAGAACCAGACATTACCACAGTGACCATGGACTCTAATCCCATCACTTTGTAGATGAGGAATCTAGGGCATGGGGTAATGAAGTGACTTGACAACTGTCACCAGAATAGAAGAGTAGCGAAATGATTTTTGCAATACACTGTCCTACTTCTCTTTTATTTCCAGGAAAGTATATTCCATAACCATTGGACTTCAGTGAATTCATCAATTAAGAGTTGCATACTTATTTTAGAACTGAAAACAGATCAAAGATTTTCTTGATGAAAAAATACTATCAAAGGTCACTTTAGTAATAGTTTCCAAATTTGACCACACATAAGGCTTACCACAGAAAAGAGAAAAAAGTTATTAGATTTTCCTCTCCTACAGGATTTTCACTTTGCTCATGATTGTTTCTCTATTTTTCTACCTGAAGTCCTTTTCACCTGAACTAGTTTATCCTTGTAGGGATCACAATTGTCACATAATTATTTACTGTGTGGAATGCTGTCATCTGGATTTTTGTTTTCACCATACTCTCCTAAATTCATTCAATGTGAGTAATGTCATTGAAGTGCTATCAGTTGTATCTACATCATTCTAATTTTCTCTTGTGGAAGTTGAGGAAGGTGCTTATAGTGATGTTGAATCAAATAGGATGGTTTATTAAACTCCAGAGAACAAGTTTGATTTATTTATTTTGATCCATTTTATTTCACTTAAATTGCATGTATAGAGTGTCTTTCCTATTCTAAACCATTCCTGACTCTGTTTTGCAAAGGTTCAGGACCAAAGGATTGTCCTGATATATATTTTTATCTAATAGATCTACAAAAAATTCTCCCTATGTTGGTACTTTGCATACAGCTCACATTTTGTTCCTTTATTCATCTGTTTAAATAATCATGTTTGATTTTTATGCTTCTACTGAACAATTTGAAATAGTCCTATAATGATGCTACTTCCTTGCAGATTTTTCAAATTCTTAATTATGTTGAGTGGTCATTAGAATAACAGATCTTGTAAATCACCTTTTTAACTTTTGTTAGTGTGTCAATAAACCTTTTCAAATGCCTTCTTTATGGAAAGTAATGTGATAAGCCTTGGGGACAAAAAAAGGTCAAAAGATAGTCATTTTTCTCAAGAACTTCAATCTAATGGGAAACAATATGTATAAACAAAAAGAAAAATGTAAAAGCAAGCTATATGCCAGATAATGCCCAGATTTCGAAAAATGCAATATCTTATTCAAGAAATAGCAAGACGGCAATGTCACTGAACTGCAGAGTGCCTTGTGATGAGTTTTAGAGGTTCAGGGGTGCTGGGACCCCAAAATCACAACATACAGGTCCTACTGGAAAGAATTTGAGCCAAGCCTTCTTTCTGCCAAAGACAAGGTTTATTAGAACATCAATCATATTGGGTAGACTCTTAAGGAATCTGAACATTAGTAAACAATGACTAGATCATAAGAATCTAAGTAGTGGCTAGATTTTAAGAATCTAAGCATCTTAATGGAGACAAGATGGATCTTATATACAGAAAGACTATGGGAGGGATCTAGGAGTGGCCAAGTGGTCTATGAGGTAATAGAACTCCAGGGACTGGATCATGTGGCCAAGGGAGAATGGAGCGTAGATAGGATTAAGTGTGGGAAATGGCCAGGGAGCATAGGAGGTAAAACAATGGAAGACCAGGCTAGGTTAAGGGTAACAGAATTAGGAGATTAGGTATAGCCACAATGAAAGGCTAGTTGATGAGATTATAGCCTCAGGGGAATGCCAGAGATTTTGCCATGTGGAAAAGTACAGAGTTTTTCCTTTTTGGAGTCTAGATTATATCCTCATCACCTTGCAAAGTTAAATATAAGTTTTAAGGAGATTGGAAAGATATGATGGAATATGTTATAAAGTGCACTGAATGCCCTTGTGATAGAAAGCCACTGGGTTTTATTGAGTAGGGGGGATGACATAGACCTGGACTTTGGAAAATCATTTTGGCAAGTAGAGCATGGACTGAAGTTAAGAAATATTTGAAGTGAGAAAACTAGCCAGCAGGCTATTGCAATAGTCTAGGCATGAGAAGATGAAAGCCCACACCAAGATGTTAGCAGTGACAGAAAAGAAAAATATATATGCAATTGATGTTACAAAGGTAAAATCTAAGGGATTTGGCCACAGATTATATACAGGATGTGAGAATGAGAACCGGATGGTGACACTTAGATGACCAGTCTGGCTGCCTAGAAGAATGGTGTTAGCTCCAAAAGTAAGAGAAAAGTGATGAAGAAGTGTGAGTTTTGTGTAAAAATATAAGTTCAGCTTTGGATATGTTGAGTTTAATGTCTATGAAACAACCAACTTGAGATCATTAATAGGCAATTGACGATGGAGGACTGCTGGATAAGTAGATTTGAGAATCTTTAGTGTACAGATGCCAATTGAACCATTGCAAGCTGATGAGATAATCAATTGAAACAATATAGAGGGACCAGAGCCATAGCTCCTGGACAGAGTCCTTGAGTAGCCATGACTTGGATGAAGAGGATCTAGCAAAAAAGACCAAGAAGGAGTGATTAGATAATTCAGAAGAGAACCAGCTTCCTGAAAACTTAGAGAGAAGAATGTATCAAGAAAATGATCAACAGTGTCAAAGGTTGCAGAGGGGTCAAGAAAGAAGGATTTGGAAAAGACCATTCATCATTCTGGCAATTAAGAAATTGTTAAAAACTTAGATGAGAGCACATTCCACTGGATGATGAGTAAGAAGTGAGATTTTAGTGACTTAAAAAGAGATTTAAAGAAATAGAAAGGAGACACATTTAGCCACAAAAAGGAATGATAGAGTCTTTGGATGCACTCAATAAGGGATTTCTGAGCATTGGGTAGACATTGGGTAGATAAATATGTTTATAGGCAATAAAAATAGCCAGTGAATAGGGACAGAGATAAGTGAGAAATTATTATGATTGGGGAAATCTACTGGAGAAGAGAAGATGGAAAAGGGCCACCTCATTAAGTGAGATAAAGGAGAAGAAGCAGCAGAAAGCATGTGAGTTATATGAAATTAGGATAAGAGAAGAGGGAACTATGAGGAAATGATTTCAAATTTTTCAGTAAAATATGAAACAAGTCTCTCAGGTGAGACAAAAGGGAATGGGACACCACAAGAAGATTGAAAAAGGACAAAAAAGTTTGGAAGAGCTGCTATGGTGAGTGAGACAGTGAGTTAATTTGGGAGGTTTAAAAGGATTACTTGGTAGCACTGAGGGCCCAGTTGAGGTTATTGACCTCTTCAGGTTATTGACCAAATTTATAATGGGCCCAATCAACACATTTTCATCATATTTTGTTTTGTTGTTTGCAGCTTTATTCTAGTGCATATGTGTAGGAAGGAAAGCAGCAGACCTTGGTAATAATCCACAACAAAGACTTGGGGCAACAATATGAGAGATAAGATAAGGGGCAAGGGACTCAAGAGAAACAACAGTATAGGGTTAAGTTAGTTCGTTGAGGGATTAAAGTGGTAAATGGAAGATATTGTAGCTAGTGCAAGGGTGATTCTAGGGGAAAGAATCAAGGAGTCAAGGGCCTGGAGGTCGTGGTGTGGATGAGGAAATATATCTTTCCTACAAAGTATATTATAATAAGGATGGATATAAATTTACAATTTCATGAATAGAGTAACCTCTTCTAAACTTTTAAATTGGACCGTCTAATACATCAAAAAGAGTTGCTTAGAGCATTTGGAGGTTGAGTGATTTGTCTAATGTTATATAGGTAGAATGTGACAATAGCAAGACTTTATGTCTCCAAAGTCAACTCCTTATTCTCTAAGGCTTAGAACAGATTACAGAACAAATCCCCTTAATAAAAAGATTTGCTCTGTCAAACTTTGACTCAGTCAAAACGCCCCACTCAAGGACCTAGAAGGGCACATGTGGCCTGTCCAGGCCACAGTTCCCTACCCCTGCATCTAAGCTAAAAACAAATATATATATATATATATATATATATATATGTAGGTATATATGTATATGTATGTATGTATATATATGTATGTATGTATATATATATATACATATATATATATATATATATATACATATATATATTTCAAGCCATGAAACAAGGATTAGATGTATTTGATGCAAAATAAGTTGTTATTCTGAAAATAAACCGACAGACAAAGGCATCTCCTGTGAGTGGAGTGGATAGAAGAAAGAATAGAAGAAGAGAAAAAAAGGCAAGGATCACAATTCACGAATGAAAGGAGGGAAGAGACTAATAGAGGACTGCAGTGTAGAAGGATTAATAACAGCAAGAGGGGAAATCCTTGAAGAAAATATAAGATGAATTGGTCAAGAAGGAAAGGAAGTAAGGGAAGTAATCATGGAAAGAATAGTAAGAAAAGGAACAATAGGGTAAATGGAGAAGAGAAATGCTAAAACATGACTTTTTAATCATTCAGGTTATTTTTGTTTGATGAGGTGTGTAAGGCTACCTAAGATTAGTACCGGAATATCAATAACATTATAAAAATCTATTAATAATTGAATTAATTGGTTAAAGTATTTGCTATGTTGAGAGCACTTTCAGGGGGAAGAAAAAAGAATGACAGGAAAAAGGAAAAGGAAAAACAAAAAAAGGGTAATAATAGACAAGATGGAGTAATAAAACAATGATGAAAAAGAAAAATATATGGAGCTTATATTAGGTTTCTATAGTAATGAAAAATTATATGAACAACTATTTTCTTTTAGGGAAGAAAAGAGCAACATTGGGGGTTAGGGAAATTCCAACAGAAGCAGCATATTTGACAGT